AAAGGCTTGTGGTCAGTACAGGCGGGGAAGCTAGGTTTCTCCCAGACTCATAGAAGCTGTCGAGCAAGAGGCTGCAAAGAGGGGCGGGGGGAAGGGGGGAGTAATAAACAGGCTAAGGCCTCTGTCTAAGACCCTGAACATTGGCCTTTGGGCTCCTTTCTCCCAGTGCTGAGGGTGGGAGGAGCCTGGCCAGGGTGTGATGGAGTGTCATCAGGTCCAGGACCAGGGTCCTTTCAGATTACCTGGTTTTACTCACTCACTGACAGGTGACAGGTAAACCCCAAATAAGGGAGGTGTCATGCCCCAAGTCACACGACCCATGTATGTGGGAGGACTGGGCAGCATAGGCGTGAATTCCTGGTCTGTCAGGCTCCCTGAACATAACACAACTCTTACTAGGTATTAATATTTTGTTTTGCAAAATTACAGTTATGTAATGTGAAAAGCTACAAAAGTCTGTTGAAATACGTTGTTGTGTTACCAAAGGCGGTCACCGGGCAGCCTGACTCAGATCACGCTGCCCTGTGGTCTGGAGGAAAGTTCCAGAGGAGCACCAAGTGCAGCCTGGGGTGGGGTTGTTGGACATGAACAGCCCTGTGGCTCTGGGCCTTGTGACATATGAGATAGTTTGATGAGATCATAATTTAAAATCTGAACTTGCTATGACTGCACTGGTCACTTAAAAATGGTTAAGATAGTAAATGTTATGTTACATGTATTTATGACCATAAAAAAGTTTTCTTTACAAAATCCAAATAAATAAACAAAACCTGAAATTGTTCTGGCTCTTCTCTTTCAATTCGTCTTTCTTTGAAAAAAATAAAAACACTAGAAGAGTAAACATGATTAAAAACCAGAAATATCAGACATGATTTTTTTCTGTTTTCCAAAGGTTTCAAATTGGCTGTTTGGATTTTTAACGGTCTCTTATCACTTAAAAAAAAATTAAAAATATTTTAACTGGTTCTTCAAAAAATTAAACACAGAATTACCATATGATCCAGCAATGAACTTCCATATACAGAGGGTGCCAAAAAAATGTATCCACGTTTTAAGAAAGGAAAAAAACTATTAAAATTGTAATAAAATGAATGAAGCTAGCATTCATTTGATTAACGCCATCTTTCGAGCAAACGTCATACTACACTTTGCTACCATAATTCAACTTTAAAAAGTAATACATAGATAACATCTCTTAAAATGTGTACATATTTTTGGCACCTCCGTTATTACAAAGGAACTGAAAGTAGAGACTAAGCCATATGTCTGTTTTTAGCAGTGTTATTTACAATAGTCAAAAAGTACAAACAACTCAAATGTTCACCAGTGGATGAGTGGTTAAACAAAACATCTCACACAACACACACACACACACACACACACACAAATATTATTCAGCCTTAGATAGAAAGGAAATTCTGACACATGCTACAACATGGATGAAACTTTAGGACATTATGCTCACTGAAACAAGCCAGTGACAAAGGACAAATTCCACTTACACGAGGTCTCTAGAGTCGTCAAACTCATAGAGACAGAAAGTGGAATGGGGCTAGCCAGGGACTGGGGGAGAGGAGAAAGGGGAGTTATTATCTAATGGGTATAGAATTTAAGTTGGGGAAGATGGAAAAGTCCTGAAGATGGACGGTGGTGATGATTATACAACAATGTGAATATACTTAATGCCACTGAACTGGACACTTATAAATCACTAAAGTGATCATTTTTTATGTTCCATATATTTAACCACAATAAGCAATGTAAATAATGATATAGAAAATTGAAACAGAGAGAAGACAATGATTCCTCATAATCTCCTCACCCCCAGATAAGCCTGCATTCTTTTTCATATCTCTGCAGGCCGGGGGTCAGAGCCCAGGTGTCATGATGGCCAGGTTTCTCTCACTCCACCACACAAGAACCCCCGAATAAAGGGATCAGGAATTTATTTAAGGAGTGAGTGCAGTAGAGAAGTCTCTGGGTCAGAAGTCTAGGAAACAGGTCTTTGAAGGGGTGTCTTCTGGGTTGGGGTTCTGGGGGCTCCAGGGGCCAGGTGTGCAGGGATGAGTGTGACTGTTTCTGGAACCAGCGAGAGAAAACGATTTCTCCGTAGACAAGGCAGCTGGCTGTGTGCAGAGCTCTGGCCTTGGTGCTCTTTGCTTCTGAGTCTCTGTGGGGGTTTAAAATATGTCCCCAGATTCCTTGACACCCCTATTCTAAGGCTGGGTCTAATCTGCCTCTTGGTTATGGGCTGGACTTAGCGACTCACTCCTCTGGAGTGACAGCATGGCTTCCAAGGCTAGCTGAGGAAAGGGATAGCGCTCACTTGGCTTGGAAACACACACACTCCATGCACCCAGCCCCCATTAGGCAGCTCTTCAGAGGACCCCAGCCCCAGCCTCCAGGCACTCTGGCCCATACCAAGTAGTGCAGAGGGGAGCTGTGGCCCCTGAGCCCTGCCCAAAGCATAAATTTACGAGAAAAATAAAGATAGCTGTTTCAACTCACTCAGTGTTGGAGTGGTTTGTAATGTATAAATAGGTAACTGGAACACTCTACATCAGTGGTTCTCATCAGGTGAGTAAGGACAGTGGGGCCTTTTCCAGGATCCACTGTTTAACCCTATCACCTCCCCCACCCCCATCCTATTCCACTATTTTAGGGCCTGAATTGGGGAGGGGGAGGGATGCAGCAGCAGCAAGACCATGGAGCTGGTTAGGAAATCCCACCGGTGATTCCAGATATGCGTCCCCTCTCCCCCCGCAGTTGAGACCCGCCAGACCTGTTCTGCCCAGGACACTAGCCATTAGCCACACATGGTTCTTTAAACTAATTCAAATAAAAGAGTCAATTCTTCAGTCTCACTAACTACATTTCAAGTGCTATTAGGCGCACGCAGCCAGTGGCAACTGTATTTGACAGCACAGCCGCAGAGCGTTCCTCCCACCAGAAAGTTCTAGCAGATGGTGCTGCATGAGAACCTCGCTGGCTGCCCAGGGGGGCCGAGCACCAGCAAGGTGAGTGTCACCTGGGACCACATGGAATGCACACCTGAGGCTCCTCCCAGACCTGCCCAATCAGAAGTTGCATCTTATTAGGACATCTGGGTGATCTGTAAGCGCATGAATGTGTGAAAAGCTGAGCACCTGCTTCTCTCTTCCCTCTGCAGTCCTGGCCTGTGTGACCATTTCCCTGGCCCAGGGAGGTACCCGCTTTCCCTCCTCTGTGCCTGACCATCCTGGATCCTCCGAGCTCATTCACTTGTTCCTTTAGGTTTGCCCCTCTGAGCCCCTCTAGGGCTGGAAGCTTCAAGCTTCGAAGCCATTTCCAAGTGGCTTCATAAAATGTTATGTTTTTAATTATTATTGATTATATTCCCCACACTGTATTTCACATCCCTGTGACTACCAATTTGTATTTCCTTTTTTTTTTTTTTAGCTGACCTGTTGGCAGCTCAGCAGCAGCTCAGCTCAAGGTTACCCGTACCTCATTCATTAACAACATCCTAACCTGGGAAAGAGCGATTTCTGAATCCTCAGGCGCCTGGACACCAGAATCCAATTTACAGCTCCCTTGCAGTTTTTACTGGGGATGCATAGTCCCAGGCCACGATGGCCTAGGCGGAGTCCAGAGTCTGGAGAGAACAGTGTCTTCAAACAGACCAGATTCCATGAAGGATGTCAGCCCCCAAACCTGCCTGACTAACTCCCCGTTTCCTATATAAAAAGAAGCTAATCTGAAGTTAGTGCAGCTATTTATTCTAAGACCCTGCCCCGGCCCCACCCTCCGCCAGTGTTTCTCACCTTACTACCCACCGCAGCCGTCATCTTTGGACACTGCCATGGGCATTTCTCTCTGCCCTAACTTTAATAAAACTCTTCTTTGCTCTCCCACTTTGTAGAGTTGTGTGTGAATGCTTTCCTCTTTTGCGAACGATGAGGGGTGGATTCCACGCCAGGACACTTTTGATTGTATGAAATCCAAGCTACCTTTGCCAGTGTATATCAGTGTTCTGTGGTTAGTTGAGCATTTTGCCCTTATTATTATTTTTTTTAATTTAATTTTATTGGGGAACAGTGTATTTTTCCAGGACCCATCAGCTCCAAGTCAGTACTTGTTTCAATCTAGTTGTGGAGGGTGCAGCTCAGTGGTCCATGTGGGGATCGAACAAGCAACCTTGGTGTTATAAGCACTGCTCTAACCAACTGAGCTAACCGGCCGCCCCTTTGCCCTTATTCTTTTTTTTTTTTTAAGATTTTATGGGGGAATTGGGGGAGGGGAACAGCATTGGGGAATCAGAGAAGGGGGACAGACAACTTGCTATCCTTTTGTTCTTCAGTCTAGTTGTGGAGGACGTCACTTCATTGGCCCATGTTGGTATTATCATTGCGCTCTTCTCGGGTGAGGCAGTCAGTCGCCGGCCATTGAACGGCCACTCACAGTGGCTCACAGCAGCTCACGGCAGCTCACGAAAGC